TGTGCCAGGCTGCCCAGGGCAGTGGTGGAGTCCCCACCCCTGGAGGGGTTTCCAAGCCGTGGAGATGTGGGGTGAGGGACACGGGGCAGTGGGGACCTGGCACTGCTGGTGGATGGTTGGACTCTGGGCTCCAAACACCATCCTGGGGCTGGGATCAGCCACCCCCGTGTCCAGCCCAGGCCAGGCAGGAGCACTCAGCCCTCCCCCAGCCATGGAGCACGTGTGGGCACAGAGAGATCACCTCCCCCATGGAAACCCTCAGGAGGAGCTGGAACTCTTCCCCTGGGCAGCATTTGGCCCAAGCTGGCCCTGGGGGAGCCTTGGTCACCAAAAGCCACACAGAAGAAGTGCTGCAATGAGAAGGTGGACGAGGCAAACCCACCCCTGGAGCTCAGCCCTGCTGCCATACGAGGGTGGAGGAGATCCACCTTCCCTCTCTGGAGCTGTGACAGCCCCAGGTTGGACTTTGCTCCAGCTGGATGAAGCCTCAACCTCCTGAGGATGCTCCTGCAGCACACTGGAGACTTCTCATCGGGTTTCAGACTGGACCTTTCCCTTTTCCCTGCCCCTGTCCGAGGCTGCAGGGAGCAGCCGGGGACCGTGGTCCAGCAAGAGCATCCCCCGAGGATGGGGACAGCAGCTCAAGCCCCTCTCTGAGCACCTCCCAGCAGCCCTCAAGCTGTCCCTGGACCATTTCCCCCTTCCTGAACGTGCCAGGAGGGCTCAGAGCCCCGCGCTCAGCACCGCCCGGATCGATCCCCGTTGCACAGCAGGGCATGGAGGTTTTGGGTGGGCAGGCAGGGGCCAGGAGCAACCTCAGCACCCCCAGGCCAAGCTCTGCTCTCGGGAAGAGGGTTTTTGGGGGGTCTGTGGGTGGTGCCAACCCCAGCACTGTGTTTGCTTGCAGAACCGCATGCACGAGTCCCTCCACCTCTTCAACAGTATATGCAACCACAAGTTCTTCGCCGCCACCTCCATCATCCTCTTCCTCAACAAGAAGGACCTTTTTGAGGAGAAGATCAAGAAAGTTCACCTCAGCATTTGCTTCCCAGAGTACGACGGTGAGTCGGTTGGTTCCCCCTCCTTTGAGACCCCCCCCAAACCCCCAAAAATCCCATGGGAGCCACGTGGTGCCAACACAGACACGGCCCCTTGGGTTGGGGTCGTGCTGGGATCCAGCCCCTGGAGCAGAGGAGAGGAGAGATGTGGCCATGGGAAGATGGAAAGGGGATAAAATGGTTTTTGGAAAATTGCTTGGCTACGTGCAGTTTCCACCCAGCCCTTCTCCTCCTCCTCCTCCTCCTCTTCCTCCTCCTCCTCTTCCTCCTCCTCCTCGTCCTCCTCCTCGTCCTCCTCCTCGTTTTCCTCCTCCTCGTCCTCCTCGTCCTCCTCGTCCTCGTCCTCCTCCTTGTTCTCCTCCTCCTCTTCCTCCTCCTCCTCCTCTTCCTCCTCCTCCTC